TTTTATTGTCTTCCTTTACATCCTTCATGTGAATAAGAAAATAATTCTTCATATTACTTCTATTGTAACTCTGAAGCTATCCTGAACCTACCGTTGTATATTGCTTGAACAATAGCCCAATAAATGAAATGAAATGAAATGAAACAAGAGTTTTAAACTGTCGGTCAAACGCACACATATCGACACGTAAACAACGACACACCCACATAAGAGAATGTTCCTCGGATAAAAAAAGGGATCGATCCACGGAGTGAACTCCTGATGGGAGGAAATTCCAACTTTGAATGGTTGGAACGACTGAGGGTTTAGAATTTCAGTATTACAAGCACCCTGTACTGCTGCAGAATTTCAGTATTACAAGCAAAAGCAGAAGCAAAGCATTCAGAGTGGTCAAGCACACTAATTACCTGAAGCGGTTATCCTCGAAGGAGTATCCAGGTTGATAACCAGCAGATTTTGAATATCCTTTGATCACCACACAATGAAGACCAGCATAACTAAAAAAGAAAATCGCTACGTTTCTTCAGGAAATCTTTCGTCCAGATCTCAACCCGTAAACTTACTACATAAAACCCACTGTGTCGGTCACCTCAACGACTTCATTTCTCAGGAGTGAACAGTGGAATCTTTTTGTTACGCTTGTCTATTTGCTCACCTCTTAAGTGACAAGAGAAGAATACTAGCTCGCGGTGGCCAATCAAGATGAGATGTATACCCACATACATGTATGTATTTATGTGTTTACACACTGGTGTCAAATTCATAGTCCCCATTTGCAAAACAATTGCTGGAACGAAGTTACGGAAGCATTTCTTCCATGTGATATCAGGATTTTGCCGGGCATGTATCAAGGTCGATCTGCTAGGGAAGATGGGTGCGATGGCGCAGCAGGTAAACCAATGGACTAGCAGGTGTGGCCTGAGGGTTTGCATTCTGTGACATGAACCTCTGTTCTGTAAGTCAATAAAATGCAATCTGCAAATCTTTCCGAAGATAGGGCGATTCCCAAGCTGCTACGTTCTTTGTTATAATGGACGCATCAGCATGCTGAAGTTTAACTAATACAAGTAGAAGCCGCTTGAATACAGCATGAAGGGCAAAGAAATTCGACCCATAGACCTATTACAAAAGTCTCTCACCTGCATAATCGCTTGAAAAGCACATGGTAACTTTCGGTGCCATACTTAATCCCACGCAAGAGACCCATCGGTGTGTCATTCTCCACTGAGTCGTCGAATATCATCGTATTGAGATTTTTTATGGTTATCCATCGATAAATCGCTCTGAAAAGCTAATAATTCGGTAGTTATATTGAAATCAAATAGTCTTTTTCCGCTCAATGACGAAAGTAGGTCGTGCAGAAAGAGAACCACGATTAAAGCCATTTACTTATGCCCACACCCTGTCGTTACTATTTGGAAATGCAACGAAGACCAAAATACCAAGCTTAAACCATTTCATGGCCCAAATAGGTTGTATGATTGCACGAATGCTGCTGATCACTTCATATCACCATAACTCATAGTGAACACAGGTTCTATAGCATGGTGTTTACGCCGGTAACTTGTCAACAACGGAAGTCATGAAACCATTCTCTCCCTGCGACGCCATTTCAGGTCTACTTTTTTTCTTCTACAAAAATGTGTGCTGAATGCTTGCAAATCGGATTACATCTCATATTGGCTTCATACATCCCACTATTTACCGCAGAAAGCGATTTCCAAGGAAGTTGCGTCCTGCCTTGCCTCTCAGCAGGACGTGAATGTCCTTAATGCTAAAGATTATGTACCACTGAAGTTTTCTTTCTATAAAAAAAACCTGATCAGAAGGCTTTGAAACGTATAAAACCCTAATTTTTAGCGGCCAGAAAAGCCCCTTGAGACTACATAGTTGACGACTTTACTTGGTTCCTCACTGTCTACTTGCTACGCAGACTCTCGCGGTTACCGCTAAAATGGAAAGGAAAATCATGGAAGCATAGTAAATGACCGCATCAAGCCGGAAATCAATGCGAAAGAGGAGATGCATGGCCTACTTAGACCGATTGAGTGATAACAAATACAATTTGTTTTGTAACTTATAATTAGCTGCTTGAATGCAGCAATATATAATATTATAAACACTAAGTTATGAGGAAGGCATTATAATGCCGAAAGCATATCAAAAGTGAAGAGCTAAGAGCTCCGAAAAGTACAAACCAAAGACAACGACAACAAGTATCATAAATTCAAAATGAACGCGAATCCAGTGTATCTGTTTGTTTGCCTGTCTGTTTGTTTACACTGTTTAGTCGCCTGTTTCTCTGCCACCCTCAAGCAAGAGCTGAATTCCTCAGAACCCACATTTTGTTCAAGAAAAAGTCAGCAAAGCTAGCAAAGAAGAAGAGCTCAAGCTTAATTCGGGTGAGATGGGTCTCAAAATGAGCGAAGGTCGGATTCAGTATCTACACATTCCCATCAAAAACATTCTCTAGACAGGTAGAACGTGGGCGAGGTCCAGCGAAGATAGGGGTTGAATCTCTACGTTAGGTGGGAGAGTCCTTCCCTGGGCAATGTATGTGATGCAACAACTGCCCAACATATTACTTGAAACGTTCTAAAGAATCGTCAAAGTGATTGGATATTGTGTAATGGACCCATATTGAGAGCTACCATTCGACGAGTGTTCAAACTCCAAAGGAAGGGAAGAAATATAGTGTGGAAACAGATGAAGAGACAGCGATCGATGGCTGCCCACTGACTTTCGTCTCCATCGTTTGTACCACCCAGAGGCGGTTGGGACATTCCGTCTTTGATGAAGAAAGGGCAAGCCTCGGCGTAGGAAGCGCGATCCTACTGTACATTATAATACAGGCTTTGATAGCTGTGAACGAAAGATGGAAGACCCGAAATTCCTACTGCAACATTAAAAAGGTTCAGGAAAGCGAGCGACGGTCGTAGGGCAGTGAAGAAGAACGATTTCAATAGATACCTAAGGAGCTTTAAGATTATCTAACGATTTTGAGACCTCCCTAATGAGTTTTAACCCATTGCGACCGTCCCTTTTTTATTGTCTTTACATTAACCTTTAATTTCTCTTATAACTGTACTCGGAAATGAATCTTTCCAGGAGCACGATATGGTGTGGCCCGCCGGCGGGCCACGCGGTCGTCAATGGGTTAAGGTAGTCTAAATGAAAAGATATGGTCGAGCACAAAGTGTTCATTAGGATTTACCGAAGGACACTTTGTCAGAATTATTGTCTTCTGATTGACAATTTATGGAGTTCACGCATTCGTTCAGTCTCGAATCCCATCAAATAAATATACTCAAAACAGGGAATCCAGTGTCCGTCAACTATCGATGAAAACTATAATTCTCGAGGAAATGGTACTTATTGGGCTGCTGAGGTGAGCTTACTCCATGGTATCCAATTGTGAGTGGAAGACCATTCATCAAAAGCCATGAGACGAGCGTGCATCGTGTGCAGCTTGACCAGTAAGATAAAAAATTGCTCTGCGGAGTTCTAGCAAGTATTTCGTAGGAAAAATAGATCTGCCCAAGCGTCAAGGATATTAGCCTCCATGTACCCCTGTGAACCCATCTTTCGTTACCATTGACACATATCACTGTAAACCGAAAGCCGTTTTGATTGATCGCTGGAACCGTATTTCACAAAAAGAAATGCTTCCGCTGCTATGCTCTCAAAATCGTTCCGCGTATTTAGAATGCAGGTTTAAGAACAGTGTCTGAAGGCCCCAAAGCGGTACGCATCTAAACTTGTATGACTTCAGCGATCTACCTTTCCTTTTAAAGTTGTGATGCTCAAACTATCGAACCAAATTTGTTCAGGCCAAAAATTACGTAACGATAATCTCACAACCCTGAGCGACATACCTTGCCATATCGATGTCACTTCTTGCTTCACTCGTCAAAGCTCGAATCAAATCAGTAAACGTGGTCATCTCACTGCGTGCGCAATGTATGGCGACCTCGTCGATTGACTGCAACCGTACATCCATTCCAAAAATTGTGGGGCTCGATATCATTCACGCTCACCGAAAAGTATTCTGTGGATGAGTAGATCTCACGTTTGCTGCATGACGGCGGTTGCGGTGGCGGGGGAGTGGACGGATAACCTGCACTACTGTATGGACCATCAGCTTGTTCCTAAAGAGTTGCGATCAACTATGTAAGATCTGCCCAAGCATAGGCTTTTAATGTGTACTTGTCACGATTATTACACAGGAATTTAATTGCAGCAGAGAAAGATTCACGCCTTCTACTCTTCACTACCCCCAACTTAATATTGTATTAGATTTCCTTGAATCTGGTCGCACAGAGGAATGAATCTGTTAACTTTTTTCAGCTTGCTGGAACCGCTGAAGGATGATTTAGCATCCGGCCAAGCCCTCAATGAAATTTATTATTAAGGACTCAAAAAACGAGCCCATGTTTCAGGAAGTGGGGAGGAAAGGGTAAATAACAGAAAAAGGTCCTATCGCTTTTACCAACAGTAAGAAGAAAGAAAAGGTGAATAATATTTACTCACCGATCGAGCCTGTTTGAATAAGTCAAGCATTTCGCGTGCCTGTCTGTCAACCAATTCTGCTGTTTGGTGGCGCTCACGTTCCTTAAAGGGATAAGATTGCAGTCGATGGAACACATTTACAACTATACCCTGCAGACAGATCACCTATAAATACTGGGCTACATTGAAGCTTCGTATGAAGCTAAATATATGGTGAACCCTGTAGAAGAGGCCTACTTTTCTGAAGTTTCCTGCTCTTACAAGCATGGCAAATAGCATCTTCAACGACTGTGAAAACTTCGAAGGGATACAATGACTGTAGAGGTCATACTGATACAAAGAGTTCAAGAGTGAGTGCGATTTCAAAATTTTGGCCCCTCGCTTCGTAGTGGACATGCTGAAATCTAGAAGGATCAAGAAAAGGAAAGTAGAAAACAACATCATCTCAAAGAAAAAGGAGAACATAACTGGCATAACCGCTCCACATATATTCACAGAAAGCGAATTTAAATCTCTAAGTTTGCTTTCGAACTAACTCTAAGAGGAGAGAATAAACGACAGAGCGGTAGGTCATTCCAAGAAAGATCAACCTTTGTGTTTCTAAAGTTCTACCAGCAGTCGGTACATTCTCGAAGACTCTATGTATGACAAGGGTTAAGGATTTTACCCGGAAAAAGAGGCAAAACTAAAATTTACTATCAAAGCTAAGATCTAACAAAATGGTTTACACGAACTCTTCCGAATTACTATGAAATACGGACCAAGTTCCCGTCTTAATTATTATTCTTGATCATGAAACCTTACTTCTGCGCGCCTACGGCAGTTGCTTACACTGGACACCGTTGAAGTAACCTTTGACCGATACCGCCCCAGGGGATAGCTCCAGTTTTATTGTTTACATTTACAACGAACAAGCAAATATGAGTGAGAAGCGAAAAAAAATTTAAAAAAAAACAGGACGAAGTTCCATCCAATTAACGCTTAATCAGATTTCTCAAGATTTCGGAGCATACCCTAGTTCTCGAGAGCCACCGGATCAGATGGGGATGGAAGGATTTTACGATCAGTGAAGGTAGTCAAATAGCACAGAATGCTGCAAAAAGGCGGATGGTGAATCTTAAATTCGCTCATGAAAGGAGCGCTTTACAATCAACTGATAAATCTTTTGACTGTTTGAAACTTGAAATAGCGATTTTTTACGCAAAACACTCTTGATACTTTGAGGAGCCAACAAGACTGGAAAAAAGGCGTTAACTGAAGGACTTCAATTTGATTATTAACATTGAAAATGCTTACTACACCGCAGAAATATTGCAGATAAAACCAACACAAATCTCCGACTACATTATTTTTGTTACCTTTGATGTTTTTAAAAAAGCCCAAATTGTTGAGCTAACACCTTCTAATCAACACGCTACGCTGAAGAATTTTCGCTATATACAACGCCCCAGATGAGGTTGTTGATTCATCGGTGAATGGCGTATTCCTCTCTCGCTTTTTGTGAGTGTGGGTGTGTCTGTATGTACATATGTATGTATCTGTGTTGCGTGTGTATTTGATCGCACATTCATAAGTCCTGTTGTCGTGGACCTAGAGCGATCAAATTTGATAAGAGTACAAGCAGCAGGACAGGATGGGAACACTAATGGTATGGGGCAGGACTTGGCTGAGACCACATGGGCGGGCGAAGGCTAAATTGCAATATTGGACCTAAAGCGTTCAAATTGGTAGAGACACGGACTGTATTATGAGAATGATTATGGTAGGCAGTAGAAAGGACTGAACAGTACCTTGCCCGCAAAGGTGGAAGGGGCGGAGTGTGCGTGAAGTGGACGTGATTTGAGTCAAGACGCGCAATCGAGTTGTATGTAATATATTGGGAATGAACCAAGTTAATCAGGAAATTAATTAAGGTTAAAAGTCTGCGAATCGAGACGAATTCTAACAAAGAGCATTTATTTATAACTGCCATAGGTGGTGCACGTTTTCAACAATGTGGAGCTGTACCCACCAACACTCCACAATTGACTCTGCTCGCGCATGCCAAGCTTGAGTAGTGGGAAAGCATTTCATCTACTACAATTGATTTAACCACTCAGTCGGTACATATAGGGTGATATTCATGCTGTTCGATCTTTTCTGTATTGCAAAAGCTGATCTGTCATATTGATAGCCTAAATAACAGCTACCCCGGTCGTAAAAAAGTAAGTTCAATCATGAAATCAAAGAAGGGTTACGACCTTTCCGAGCGCCTTTGATAAGTTTGAAAATGTTACATTTCTGCACCCGTCTGCATGGCCAATGCTAACGCTTACGGTATCTCGTTATAAATATAATGATCTTACTCTTCGTTTGTTATGTAGCGTTTCGAGTTTCTTTTCTCTTTTGATGGTCAACTGGCGTATCAAGTCGTCTTTGTTCCGTATGTTTTCTTGACCTTTCTCGTACTTTCGAGCAAAATCCGCCAACGCTCGCTCCCATTCCTCCTGAAAGCAGTGTTGGTCATTGTCTTATTCACTGTTCTGGCGAGCCTATTCACCTTTGTCTCAGACTCAAACTGTTCGCTTTCCTTAGTACGTTGATTTTGGAAAGCTTCGTACAATTTATCTTCGTCACGTCGATGCAGCAATTCAAGGCGAGTTTGCGCGTCATAATCCTAAATTGTTCTATAAGTCCCGGACAACAAACTCTCATGTGGAGAACTGCCCGTGCAATCTCTATGTATTCTTACAAGAAGGAAAACGAATTTACCACGGCATAACGAGCTCCTTTGTGTACTATCTTGGGGTACGGCTTGGCGACTTGTGTTGCTTTGATGGCGTGTGCGATTTTCATGTCTTCCAGGCCAGCATCCCTGAAACAGATTCGTCAGCGGCTTCCCCTATCTAATTTAAACGTACTGTCCTACTCTTAACAAGTTAAACTCCAAGAAATGAAGGATGAATTCGCCGGGTTCCTTGTGGGTCTTCAATCGTACTATGTATCAGTAATATTTCAGTATGTTCCTATCTCGCTTATTCAGCCTTTTTGAGAATTGATTTCAAACTTTTAAATTTAATTCTTACCATCGAGCTTTCTGCCTTTTATGCCCTTTTTATGCCTCAAAACCATTATGCATATTACCAGTTACAACGTACATGTTTAACGAGCGATTAGGATTTTGTATTCACTACTGGAAACTCGTCAGCGAAAATAGAATCCGCGATCATTTTGGATCTTCTCATGGAGGTTCTTGAAAGGTTTCCTCGTGCAATAAACTTAACGTTGATACAAGAAGCTCGCACAGTAAGATGATTTTCAGCAGCAGACTAATGAGCTAATTCTCACCGTCTGTATCCATTGCTTGTTTTCCCAGTGCCATTTTCAATTGGAGAACCACCGCTGCGCTGCAGCGGTAGATCGTGTGGGCTGGCGATTGGAACGTGATTCGCACAGTAGACTTCCTGAAGGAGATCATTCATTGGCGGTGTTAAAAAGAAAGAGTTGAAACGCTTCCAAAAGTGATGTGAGCCGAGGAGAAAGGAGGCAAAAATGAATTGGCAATAGGTGAATTTGATGAAAAACTTCATGCTTCGCACGTCTGTTTTCTCCTCCTAATGCGACGTGAACATTCTGCTTCGTACCACAATTACCTTATGCTTATTTAAATATTATTGACTTCATCTGAAAAAGGTATTGGTGGAAGTAACAACTTCACAGACTTTTATGAAAATGTTTCCTCTCCTTTCGTTAACATTAACAAGACTGTGGCAAAGCTGTTTGAATGACAAAGTTTTGAATAAGTTTGTTGAAAAAACTCGTACATTTCTCTAGTTTATATCTTCCAATTCGGGCGGAGGTGATGTAGTGGCAAGTGGCGCACTATATCACACGCACGGTCAGGGGTTCGAATCCCGGATCGATGCCCGCCTAGGCCAACCAAGCCCTCCATCCCTCCGGGGTCGGCGAATTGGTACCAGACTCGTTTGGGAGGATAAAAGCACAGACTTGTACATTGGCTGGCCACCGCAGGTCATTGTATAGGCCACATACGCACTCATTACGCCACTACGATTCTGAATGGNAGTCGAGTGTCGAGTGCATCCCTCAGACGGGATTGATTAACGCCGAAGACTTTATATTTTATCCTTTATTATATCCTCAAATTCACATTTTTGATGTTGCAAAATGGATGCGACTTTTCTTAACTTAGCTGACAGATATGTGATGTTTTCTTGACACATTTTATCACAGTAAAGAGTATGACTCTGGAGACAGAACCTTATGGGCGAAGAAATGACTAATAATAAGGAAGCAGCTAGACGGAATCATTCGTATTTTTCTGCTCTCCCACGATTCACCATAATAAATGAATAAAGTTGGAGAAAAGTGATAAAGAAAAAGGAGTAAAAAAAAGATCAAGAATAATCTTAAAAAGTTGGCGTGCAGAAAGCTAGAAAATATAATAGATGCGATCAAAGAAAAATAGTGATAAGGTAGTACTTGATGGCTAGCTAAGGCAAGGAAGAAGTAGACAGAGTACTTGTATGAAGTGTTTTACGTGAAACTCTCTTTAAATCCCGGTAGATATCAGGACTGTTAAGAATTGTTTGGCAGACATTTTCCGGACAACTTAACCGCCTGTACCACCGTCCTGTTGACCATCGATTCCATCGAGCGAGCGCCAGCTTGGCCTCGTCGTCCCTGTCGCGAGCCAGAGTAGTCCAGTAGATCGTTCTCGCTAGAGGAACACGAAGAATAACATTTCATTCCAGAGAAGCAGCGTGGATTTTGTCGAAGGATGCCCAGTCTGGAGTTGACCGTCAATTTGAATATTGTTCTGTTACATATGGCGGTGGTGGTCGAAAGGTACACAGAGCAGGTGTGAAGCAAACAGAACATGTGGAGTGGAAAGGACTCCAGTTGAATCGACCGTTTAGCACCTGGTGTACCCTTCACGAGCAATGAAGTAACGCTCGCCAGCGCCTGGAGTTTACCCTTTGGTTAAGGAGGTGATGAGTGGATAACCGACTATAGTGTGAATCGGCCACCTTCACATCACCCGATTGATGACGATGTTTACCACAACGGTCTACTCATCAGCTTTTTTTTTGAGAGTTTAGACACATCGTTTCTTGGAAGGTTAAGTTCCGACGATACGTCCAATCATTTCACGATAAACCAGAATGATGATTTCGAACTTACATATCATCTTAACTATTCCCTTTAACTATGCTATCCTAGGGGAATAGCTCCATAGTCCGCTGCTGATGAAGAGGCGAGGGCAGAGATGAGTAGTTATGGATGACTAGATTTGCAGCTTTGTGATCCCATAACGTCGAATTCCAACAACAATCGTAAGACATTCTATTAGGTTGATGCATAATTATTGCGGATTTTTTCGCGGCTTTTTTTCTCTTGAAAGAATTTGACTATTGAGTTCGGGCTTTTTCTAGAAATGATCTACTTGATTTCCTCTACAAGAATATACTCAAAAAACCACCCGCATATTCGCGAAATTAGGCTTAACTACTTCGAGAAAGATCGGAAGGTGGCACAGTCATTCCGCGATCTCAGAAGCTTTTCGGCGGTAGAACAATCAGCCAGAGCCAACCAAGAAATGGGATCTACCCCTAAATCTGTCATATTCACCAGCAGAAATTTTTATGGATTATCTCGTCAACCGTTCATCGAAAAAATAGCTAGAGAATAGAAGATACGTCGA